GCAATCGTCTTTTTTCCCACAAGTCCACCGAAATCCGCTACAGAGATTAACACTATGTCGCTGAACAAAGCAAAGACATCGCAATAAACTCTGTAAGCCAAATCTGTCATGGTTGCGGGCGGCTGTTGCACCAGGTGGTAACAGTAGTTGCCTGGAACGGGCCCCGCTATGATGCGAGGTATGGCGTTGCCTGGTTGCTTGTGCATGTCGCACATCACCACTAAGTTAGACCCTTGACGCTGAAGGGCTATGGCAAACTTTCTATATGGGAATCTCATGGCGCCCTTGAAACCATCGCCTCGCTCAGTATGCCCCTGTATAAGAAGAATGGTCCGTGGTTTTGCTTCGCCTATTTTGTCGAGAATTTCGTACGGCGCCATGTTTTCTTGCAGATATGGCCCAGGAAGACCAGCTGCACTAGACCGAATATGGAGGAGGTCGTTGCGCTGCATGATTAGGGGATTGCGACAGCAAGATTGTGTGTGTTGGCGTGCGGGAGATGGTGTCCACTGGAGCCTGGGCGTTAAGTATTATTTTTAAATTTGCCTTGTCCGATGAGGCACTGACGCCCCGAACCGGGGGACTGGTTGTTGTGGGCTTTAAACGATACACTTGTATTATATATTTCTTGGACTGTACTAGATTTAATTCAGCAGGACAAATAGTAGTACCCATTTGTATAATAACTCTGGCTTGGCTAAACCATCAACGCCCGCCAAAAAGTTGCCAGTAACCACAGAAGATGGAGTCTAAGTATCTAGAAGGAAAAGTTCGAGTCCCTTTGTCGAGTCTGAAGAGCGAGGATTTGGATGTTCATTCATCGTCATTCCCGATCAACATCATTGAGCATCTTCGTGATCCAGGACATGCCATCTCAGTTCGGATTACTCCAAGGACCAGAGATGACATTTTACGGGACTTGAGCTACTCACCCGAGCAATTGTATGCGACGCTTGAATTGGAATCTAGTCCTTTGATCAATGACCACCAAGTTTTCTATGCTGCTAAGGACTTGGATCTGGACAGAGCGAAGACTGTCCTCGGAAGGGATCATATTTGCAACGTACGCTTGTACTGCATTCCAGGTATGTCATAATTGAATATTACCATCGAAGCGTTTGGTCACGTTCTTATCAATATGCTAGTACAACCTCGCAAGATTTGCGATGGTGCCGTCTTCCAGAACGTGCGGTATTACATGGCCGGGTCTTGGAAAAAGAATCGTGTGTCTGTTGCCCAAGCCTGGATGGACAAGCTGTCGGGGTCCAAGAGGAAGATACTGGGAAGTCTATGGAAACATCCGGATATAATAGCAGCTATGGATAGCATGCTTTGTTTTCCTGGTTATTGGGATGGACTTCAGCTTGGTAACTGGGCAAAACATCTGGCCGCCCGCATCAATCCGCTCATCATCAACTATTGGGTGCATATTAAGAACGTCGCTTTGAAAATAATGGCTGGACATGAAGACAAGCTGCATCTCTTTGATGCAAATACGGTTGCAATTCTTCAATATCGGGCGCCGTCGTGGAATTCGCAAGACCGAGCACAGATCTGCGATCTTTTTGAGGACGGAACACTGTTTCCTGGCATTTTATCAAAGAGTGCTCGAGACAGAATTAAAGACAACATCCTTGAGCTCCCGGATTCAATACCTAGCATCCAGACCTTTCATGAAAACATGAGATATTTGACGATTGGAGCTAAAATCCTTGAGAAACACATTGAGAACAGGCCGTCAGAGAGCCGGGCTGATACAATCGAGCCCATGTGTTCCAGTCTTATTGAGAATTTAAAAAAGGACTGGAA